GCTCAATTGTGGTTGTAAGTCAGAATATATCTATATCTATATCTATATATCTATATCTATATACACACCATGTATATATATCGTGTGTATATATCTCATGTATATATATATATCTTGTGTATATATATTATGTGTATGTATATATATATATATATATATATATATATATATACACACACACACACACACACACACAGATGTGTGTATATGTGTATACAGCTATGTGTGTGTATGTCTGTTTGTGTATATATAGATAGACCTACGATGCGCTCAGTGATCATTAACAACCACTAGGCTATAAGAACGAGCGTCTCCAGTTTCTAGCTGATATTTTGATAACGTCAGCAGTTGCTGATGAAAGCTCAGTATGGAATAAAGTTTTTCATGTTCTGGAGTTCAGCGTTTTAGCAGTTTTTTTAAAGGGTTTCAAATGGATATACCTGGAACTCGAATTTTTAGAACAATTATGGATATATATATATCCATATATTAGGGCGGGGTGTATGTATATGGATTTTCATTTGTATACATATATGGATTCGTATATGTATGACAAAATGGGTGATGTTATAGGAAATCAAGCACGACTGTTAACAACAAGCAAACAACAATATCCAATAATGATTACAATAAACAACCATTTCTTTTAGCTGACAACAACCAGCTCTTGCCTTCAAGAATTATTTGTAGTAATAATAATAACAACAATAACAATAATAATAAAGTTGGAAGGGACCTTGGAGGTCATCAAGTCCAACCCCCTGCTCAGGCAGGAAACCCTATACCATTCCAGACAAATGACTGTCCAGTTTCTTCTTAAAAACTTCCAGTGTTGGAGCATTCACAGCTTCTGGAGGCAGGTTGTTCCACTGGTTAATTGTTCTAACTGTCAGGAAGTTTCTCCTTAGTTCTAGGTTGCTTCTCTCCTTGAATAGTTTCCATCCGTTGCTTCTTGTCCGGCCTTTGGAGAATAGCTTGACTCCCTCTTCTTTGGGGCAGCCCCTGAGATATTGGAACACTGCTATCATGTCCCCCCTTGTCCTTCTCTTCATTAAGCTAGACATACCCAGTTCCAGCAACCGTTCTTCATATGCTTTAGCCTCCAGTCCCCTGATCATCTTTGTTGCTCTTCTCTGCACTCTTTCTAGAGTCTCAACATCTTTTTATTGGATTTACATTCCACTTTTCTTCCAGGGAGGGGCAGTTTGGTCTAGTGGTTAAAGGCACCAGACTAGACGTTGGGAGCCTAGTCCTGCCTTAACCGGGACCACCAGCTGGGTGCTTCTGTCCTTCCCTTTCGGCTCTAGGGAGAGTCAAGGACAAATAGTTCTGAAAACGTTGCCAAGAAAACTATCTGGGATTTGTCCAAGCAACAGCTCGGAGTCAAGAACGACTTGCAGGAACAAATATATACGGATGGCGCGTATAGCCACGCTGGACACGTGGCCACGGAAAATGTCTTCAGCCAACTCTGGCTCCTTTGGCCAACAAATGGGGATGAGCACCCTCTGGAGGGGGGGGGGACACCTTCACCTAGTTAATTTCAGAGAAAACTCTGGCTTTTTTAGCGGGCGTTTTATTTATTTATTACTTTTTTTTTTTTTTTTTGCAATCGTTTGACGTCGCCCTCGGCAATTTTTCTCTCTTTCTTTCCGGGTTTAGGATCCGAATGTCACCGTGAGCTTCTTCTCTTGGAGAGGAAGGTAGTCTGTTTATTTCAACGTTCGTTGAAGAGTTTCAGACCGGCAAACAGGAATCAAGAGTGATGGACAGAAGGAGGAGGAGGAGAGGGAGGGAGAAAACAGGTCTCTCCTAGCAACTGGGAGTGATGGAGATAAGGGAGGGAAGTGTTTGCATTTTTGATAAGCTGTCCTCTGAAACAGGTCCAGCTCTCCAGAGTTTGAAAAGGACTGGCATCGCATGCTTCAGCGGTCCTTTCTGGTCTAGTAAGGCAGCGGTGGTGTCAGAGAACAGAATAGCAGGGACCCTGGAGGTCATCTAGTCCAGCCCCCCGCTCAAGCAGGAGACCCGATACCATTTCAGACCATTTCTGAATGGGATAAAACCAAGATAAGAGTCCAACGTGCCCATCGACTGATTTCTTGAAAAGCTATGAGGACTAACCCAGACTCTACAGCAGTGGTTCTCAACCTTTTTAACGCCGCGACCCCCAACCGGTCGTAAGTCGAGGACTACTCAACCGGTCGCAAGTCGAGGACTACTCAACTGGTGCAGCACCGTTTGCAGAATGGGACTTTTGGCGGGCTCAGCAGGGCAGAGACAGCCTGGACCATTCCTACTGGCTTTTGAAAGCCAATAGAATTAGACTCTATTCAAGAGAGTCTATTCTATTGGCTTTCAAAAGCCAATAGAATAAAAGGGAGTAGCACAGCTAAGGAAAAGGGGAAAAAATGGCGGACTGCGTTGTTTGGCGACCCCCGTGAAATGGTCGTTCGACCCCAAATGGGGTCCCGACCCACAGGTTGAGAACCACTGCTCTACAGACTCCTTGAGAGGCGTACAAGATAAAGGGCAGTAGAAGCCATCAATATAGCGAACGGGATGAGTGGGAGACCGAATCATGTGGACTAGTGTTTCTCAACCTTGGCAACTTGAACATGTCTAGTTTAATGACGAGAAGGACGAGGGGGGAACATGATAGCAGTGTTCCAATATCTCAGGGGCTGCCCCAAAGAAGAGGGAGTCAAGCTCTTCTCCAAAGCCCCTGAAGGCAGGACAAGAAGCAACGGATGGAAACTAACCAAGGAGAGAAGCAACCTAGAACTAAGGAGAAACTTCATGACAGTGAGAACAATTAACCAGTGGAACGACTTGCTTCCAGAAGTTGTGAATGCTCCAACACTGGAAGTTTTTATGAAGAGATTGGATAACCATTTGTATGAAAAGGTGTAGGGTTTCCTGCCTAAGCAGGGGGTTGGACTAGAAGACCTCCAAGGTCCCTTCCAACTCTGTCATTCTATTCTATTCTATTCTATTCTATTCTATTCTATTCTATTCTATTCTATTCTATTCTTGTCTAGTCTATATTTCTATTCTATTCTATTCTGTTCTATTCTTGTCTTGTCTAGTCTATATTTCTATTCTATTCTATTCTATATTCCAATATCTATTCTATTCTATTCTATTCTATTCTATTCTATTCTATTCTATTCTATTCTGTTCTGTTCTGTTCTGTTCTGTTCTGTTCTAGTCTTGTCCAGTCTATATTTCTATTCTATTCTATTCTATTCTATTCTATTCTATTCTATTCTATTCTATTCTATTCTATTCTATTCTATTCTATTCTATTCTATTCTATCCTATCCTATCCTATCCTATCCTATCCTCCAAGACCATCCCCAACAACACTGAGCAAGCCAGCCAATAGAATATAACCTAAGAGCGAACCTCGCTCCTTACTAGCACTGATGATGTTACCTAGTTGGGTAATGAAACGTCTGCAAGTAAACAAGCAAGCTCAGAGAGCACCAAGGACCTCTCAAAATGACTACCTTAGGTTTAGACAGCCCTGGACCGGACCATCTGGACTCTTTGCGTTTTGGGATACCAGTTTCTTTCTCTCTGACCAGCTGTCTGAACTTGTCAGTTGCAGAGAGGTTTATAATCAGATTAAGGGCCACATGTCCATCCCAGTTCTTGGGCAATCTTGATGAAAGGCAGGCCCACTTGTGGTTTACCAGGCTAAAGAGAAATTGGTTTGCAGCTCTAAAATATGATAGCGATATACAATTTCATTTTTCTCGGAGCCTGTTATTGGTTTCAGCTGGGCTAAGATTCCTACTTTTTTTTTTCAGGTTTCAGGATAATTAACCCTCCTATGTTTTTTGCTTAAAGAAAATTGTGAGATGTCAAACACCTTATAAAAGACTGAGAACAATTCCCTGCAGGAATCACCAGCGAAATCCCGAAGCCGTCTCCATTTCAACAACGTGTGTGTGTGTGTGTGTGTGTGTGTGTGTGTGTGTGTGTGGTCTTTCCACAATTGCAATTCATTGGTCACTTTTAATCATCCCCTCAAGTCAAATTGCTATTTGTAGCAATGATCATGGGGAAGAAATGGAGGTAGTGACAGATTTTATTTTTCTGGGCTCCAAGATCACCTCAGATGGGGACTGCAGCCAAGAAATTAAAAGACGCTTGCTCCTGGGGAGGAAAGCTATGGCAAATCTAGACAGCGTACTAAAAAGCAGAGACATCACCCTGCCAACAAAAGTGCGTATAGTCCAGGCCATGGTTTGCCCAGTTGCAATGTATGGCTGTGAAAGTTGGACCATAAGAAAGGCTGAGCGCCAAAGAATGGAGGCCTTTGAACTATGGTACTGGAGAAGACTCCTGCGAGTCCCCTGGACTGCAAGGCGATCAAACCGGTCAGTCCTGGAGGAGATCAACCCCGACTGCTCTTTAGAAGGCCAGATCCTGAAGTTGAAACTCAAGGACTTTGGCCACCTAAGGAGAAGGAAGAACTCCCTGGAGAAGAGCCTGATGCTGGGAAAGATGGAGGGCAAGAGAAGAAGGGGACGACAGAGAATGAGGTGGCTGGATGGAGTCCCTGAAGCAGCAGGCGTGAGCTTCAATGGACTCCAGAAAATGGTAGAGGACAGGAAGACCTGGAGGAGCGTTGTCCATGGGGTCGCGATGGGTCAGACACGACTTTGCAATTAACAACAACAACAACAACACCAAGCAATGATCCCATCCCATCAATTTTCAGTCTTGAAAAAGACAAATAAAGTAGTCCTCAATGTACGACCACAATTGAGGGCAATTGTTAATTTAGTTTTAATTCAGCTGCGACTGTCATAAATATAAGCATCTGAATTTTGATCACGTGACCGTGGGGACTAAGTCATTAAGTGTGAAAAACAGTCACTTTTTCCGGTGCCATGGCAACTTTGAATGGCCACTAAACAAATGGTTGTTAAGTCAAGGACTAATTGTACGTGAAAATAGTTTAATTCAAAAAAAAAAAAATTACTTACAAGTTGTTCAGACTTTACGCCAAATAACTGGATGGTCTTTGCCACGTTTTTGGATACCGCAAAGCTGAGGTTTACATCCACCGCTGCCACATTCAGTTCACTAGAAAATAAAAGTATATAACAGGATGCAAAAGGAGATTAAGAAATGTAATAATGCAACCGTGGAAGAAATCTCCGTTCCAAAATTGTGATTAAAAAGGAAGAAGGGGAAGTAAAAAAAAAAAAAAATCACATCATGCGTTGTGCACCGAGGTTTATTACCAACGCTTACCTTGCAATGATTTTGATAATGCTGTCGAGTTCGTCGGCCGATGGGGGGTTGCGACCTCCGGGAGGGAATACAAGGTTGATGGGATCAAAGAGCCGCGACAGGGATTTTGACAGATAGGCAGCTTCGTAAGGTTGCAAAGAACTTTTTAGTGCTTTTTCTGGGCTAGAAAGAGGGAGCAATTAACAAAGACAAAAATATTTATTTTCATTTTGCAATGAAGACAAAGGGTTTCTCCAATAGGATCTTTTCATCTTTGGCATGATACAATCTTTTGTATCATGGTGACCAAAACTAGACACACTATTCCAAGTGTGGTCTTACCAGTGCTGTATATACTGGTACTAACACAATATTCCTGTATCAAATTAGTAACTCAAAAACCCCAGTACAGTGGTTCTCAACCTGTGGGTCGGGACCCCATTTGGGGTCGAACGACCATTTCACGGGGGTCGCCAAACAAGGCTGTCCACCATTTTTCCCCCCTTTTCTTTGGACACGCCCCTGGCACCCAGTGATGTATAAGTGGTTGGGGGTCACCACAACATGGGGAACTGTATTATGGGGTCGCGGCATTAGAAAGGTTGAGAACCACTGCCCCAGTAAGTGTATTCGTGTTCTACATCAAGAGACACTGATCAAACCTAAATATGTCTCAACTTAAAATAACATTTTCTAAACACACTAAGCATGCCTGTCTCCAAATATCCATGTTTTGAGACTATCTTCCAGGGCAGAAATGTTGCCTTATGACAGTTTACTAAACTACAATATGAGAACTGATCGAGAATTTTGTGTATAAAAAAATAAACCCCAACCTTCTTAACAAACCAATCCCAACACACACTAATCTTCAATCTGCTTCTATTCAAACCAGTAAATTCTAATGACTCAATGGCAATAGATTCACTGCTTTTGTTAACAGCAAAGCCAATTTCTATTTATAAATATCACGCTGCGCTACAGAAAACAGCCTAATTTGTTTGCAAGGAGTTTGAAGTCTGAAATGGTCTGTGGTCTAATTACAGACAGAAGTGCTCATACTCATAATCTTGTTTCTTCTGCATGAATATGTCCTGTTCATCGTCATCTATTTGTGGAAGTTCCGATAAGGACTCGGGGCCGCCATTCGTTATAACGTTTCTTTGAATATTTTCACTGTATTGTTGAAGACGCTTCCAGAAATCATTGTACAGCCTCAGTAATTTAGGATATTCGCCTTCGAAAGCTTGCTTCAAAAACATGGAAGCTGAAAGATGGGGGGAAAAAAAGACCACGCAGACATTACTTAAAGCAAGCCTTATCAGCTCGTGGGATGCTTAGAACTTCGGTGCTACAATATTTAAAATCAACAATACACGTCAAACCTACAAAACGACTCTGGCTACAGCCATCTTTCTTCATTTTTCGGCTTGCCACAGCTGTGGGCGGAGGGAAAATACGTTCTTCTAGTTCAGTCATAACAATAACTTTCCTGTGGGAACCAAGGTCAAATTGCTCAAGTGTTTGATGGGCTAGAACTACCGCCAAAGGTGTTAATTGGGGATTGTGATTTATGACACACCAAAGGGGTGGGAAGTTTAACTTTTACTTTGTAACCTTTGGGGGGGGGACTTCCAGTCTTGATTTCAGCTATGTTTGTGCTGATATTATGTAGCCATTAAAATTGTTCTCTGAGGAAAGCAATTGTGACTGGGTTTTACAAGTTTTCGCCAAACCTAGCATTGCCGATTTTCGGCAAAACTGATCCATAGTGAATCATGGCTTCACTTGACAACGGCAGTTGTATAGAACGGAATGGAGCAGAACAGAACAGAATAGAATAGAATGGAATAAAATAGAATAAACAAGAGAATGGAATGAAATGGAACGGAACAGAACAGAACAAAGAATGGAACGGAATGGAATGGAATAGAGAATGGAATGGAATGGAACGGAACAGAACAGAACATAGAATATGGAATATGGAATGGAATGGAATGGAATGGAATAGAATAGAATAGAACAGAACAGAACAGAATATACAATATAATAGAATGGAATGGAATAGAAGAGAATATAGAATGTAGAGTAGAGTAGAGTAGAGTAGAATAGAATAGAACAGAACATAGAATAGAATAGAATAGAATAGAATAGAATAGAATAGAATAGAATAGAATAGAATAGAATAGAATAGAATGGAATGGAAGAGAATATAGAATATAGAGTAGAGTAGAGTAGAGTAGAGTAGAGTAGAATAGAATAGAATAGGAGTGGAATGGAATGGAATGGAATAGAATAGAATAGAATAGAATAGAATAGAATAGAATAGAATAGAATAGAATAGAATAGAAAATATGGACTGGACTGAAATAGAATAGAATAGAATAGAATAGAATAGAATAGAATAGAATAGAATAGAATAGAAAATATGGACTGGACTGGAATAGAATAGAATAGCAAATATGGACTGGACTGAAATAGAATAGAATAGAATAGAATAGAATAGAATAGAATAGAATAGAATAGAATAGAATAGAATAGAATAGAATAGAATAGAATAGGGGATGGAATAGGGAACGGAGCAGAACAGAACAGAATACAAACTTTATTGTCATTTATATGTACACTAATCAGCATACATTCAAATGAAATTTCGCTGCATTCAGCTCTCAAAAAAATGCCATTATGCATGTACCTCCATCCACCCCCCCACACACACATATATGACACAGAGAAACATCACAGTTTCTAGTTCGAATGTATACATATACAGGGTGAGAAAAACAAATCTTGCGAATTTACCAGACAGGTGGCATAGGGAACAAAGCTGTTGCAGAATCGGGTAGTCCTGCTGGAAACTGTCCGAAACCCCCTCGCAGAGGGGAGCAACAGAAGCAGACCCTGAGGTGGGCGTGCAGGGTATCTAACAATGCTTTGAGCTCTAAGCACATAGCGCTTATATGCTCATAACTCAAGGACTTCGTGGACGTTTAGAAAAGCAATTTCCACAACCCCAGACAAGCCTTCTGTAGAAATATTTTACTCTGGAGAAAATTCTGTACCTTACCTTCACAGTGGCCATAAAAGCCCGCAATATCCAGAGGAATTCCTGCTGTGACTTGTTATTTGCTTTTATGTCCCTATTCTAGTCTAATAAAACACATGAGTCACACTCTGGATGCCCTCATAACCCAACTTTTTTCTCTGCTTTATATTTTCAGTGTCAAGTGGCTTCTTTCTGCAATGAGAACCCAGGCTTGAAAAAGTGAAAGATGATTTAATTGCTAGCATTAACAATTGGAAGCTTGGACGAACAATACCTTGTCCTGGTTATTCTTACTGCTAGATGAGGTAAGTTACGCAAGAGATCTGTTTTCATCCGATTCAATTCAAAAATGCCCCAGAAATATATATATATATATATATATATATATATATATATATATATATATTTCGCCACTGAGTGATTTCTTTAGACATTCATCGCTTCCTCAATAATATCCAGAAGTACATACAGTATTTTGAATGGACATAGCTAATTTGTTAAATTCTACAGGTTTGTTTTGATAATTTTGCAATCTCTCTCTCTCTCTCTCTCTCTCTCTCTCTCTCTCTCTCTCTCTCTCTCCTTATGTACCTACCTACCTTCCTATTTATCTATATCTATCTATCTGTCTGTCTGTCTGTCTGTCTATCTATCTACTTATCTACTTACCTACTTATCTATCTATCTATCTATCTATCTATCTATCTATCTATCTATCTATCTATCTATCTATCTATCTATCTATCTATCTTTTGCTTTAATCATTGGGAACATCAAGGATTTTGAACCAAATCCTTTAGAACAGTGGTTCTCAACCTGTGGGTCGGGACCCCATTTGGGGTCGAACGACCATTTCACGGGGGTCGCCAAACAACGCAGTCCACCATTTTTTCCCCCTTTTCCTTAGCTATGCTACTCCCTTGTATTCTGTTGGCTTTTGAAAGCCAATAGAATAGACTCTCTTGAATAGAGTCTAATTCTATTGGCTTTCCAAAGCCAATAGGAATGGTCCAGGCTGTCTCTGCCCTGCTGAGCCCGCCAAAAGTCCCATTCTGCAAACGGTGCTGCACCAGTTGAGTAGTCCTCAACTTATGACCGGTTGAGTAGTCCTTGACTTACGAACGGTTGGGGGTCGCGGCATTAAAAAGGTTGAGAACCACTGCTTTAGAAGTTGTAGCGTTAACCCACAAAGACTTTAGAATAAGCAAAATATAAAAATGTAACGCATCTCGCACAAAATATTCTTACAACAGGCACAGGAAGTTGCAGATAATAAACCAGCTTTGAAAATATTAGAGAGCCACTTCCAATGCAGATACATTAATGCATTTTTTTTTTGGGTGGGGTCCATGGTACTCTCTGAGCTTGGTGGTGTTCTTGCAGATGCTTCAGTGCTAGCACTGATGATGTTACCTAGCTGGGTCATGAAACGTCTGCAAGAAAACCACCATTTTCAAGACCATTTCCACTAACACTGACAGGGCAAGCCCCTAGAGTATAAACAGAGAGCAAACCCCATTCCTTATTAGCACTGATGATATTACCTAGCTGGGTAATAAAACATCTGCAAGAAAACCATCAAACTCAGAGAGCACCAAGGACCCCCACAGTCCTCCTCCTCCTCCTCCTCCTCTCCCTTCTAAGACTGATGATGTTACCTAGTTGGGTCACGAGACGTCTGCAAGAAAACCCCCAAGCTCAGAGGACCCCTCATTTCAACCCTGAGCTGCAAATATTCGCTTCTATTGGCATTTTTTTTCTTTTCTGTTATTTTTCTAACAAGAGTCACGCTTGGGGAAGATGATTACTAATAAGTCGCAGCGCATAATTGGCAGTTCTTTTTCTCTCAGTCTTTCTCTCTCTACTCCTATTGCCATTTTCCTGTTAGCATTGTCCTCGTAGTAAAAATACAGGAAGCTCTTGACTTACAACACGGTTCATTTAGTGACCGAAGTTACAACAGGACTGAAAAAAAGTGACTTATGATCGTTTTTCACACTGATGACCGTTGCAGCATTCTGGTGGTCATGTGATCAAAATTCAGATGCTTTGAGAACTGGTTCATATTTATGACAGTCGCAGTGTCCTGGGATCCTACGATCACCTTTTTTTCTGGTAAGCAAAGTCCACAAAGATTCGCTTAACAAGGATGTTACTAACCGTGTATTCTGCTCTGGGAAGCAAGGGGGGGAGGTTTGAGGGTGGGTGGGTGGGTGAGTGGGTGGGTAATGATAATATAGTCATGGCAAATGCTTGGGCATTTCCCCTATGCTGCGTTCATGTGTGTGAGAGGGATGAGAGGGGAGGAAGGAGTAGGGAGGAAGTAGGATGGTTAGAGGAGAAGGGGGGGGGGAAGAGAGTAGGAGGGGAGGAGAGAAAGAGGAGGGAAGTAGGGAAGGTTTAGAGAGGGTGGACGCAGCCTGGGGGGAATGGGCAGGCGGTACCAATGGTTAGGAATTTATTTTATTTTGTATGAATAAATGGAAAATAAAAACTTTTTAATAATAAAAAAAGGATGTTACTATCTTAACAACTGCAGCGAGAAAGGTCGTAAAATGGAGCAAAACTCACTTAACAAATGTTTCACTTAACAACGGAAATTTGGGGCTCAAATGCGGTCATAAGTCATACGTACGTAGACAGAGATTCAAGAGAGAGTGAGGAAAAACTAGGGAGGCAAATGCAGCTCCTGTAATTCTTTCTTACTCTCCACCAGAAGTGGCTACAGATATTTTCTTCCGTGTAACGAAGGGCTGCGTGCTTCTACTTTTCCCTTGTGTTGCATCTGCATGTGTTTGTGTATACGTGTGTGCAATGAACATCCATAGCTGCACACCCTCTCCTCTGGATCATACGACGAGAGACGAGAAGAGCTTAGGATGGTGCAATCATCAGCTTTTTGATCCACTGCCCAACTGCCTCTCCTATAGAAATTACACAGATTTTTTTTTTTTAAAAAAAACAATGTTTTTCTCTGCCTCAAGCCAGATGGGGCCTATTTTAAAAAACCCTTTTTTTCCTGTAGTTTCTTCTTCCAGAACCCATTTGGTCCCCTTCTGTTCAGTTTTCAGAGAATTATCCTGCTGAAGGACCCACGGACCGACAGAGAAATGGAGTCCCTTTATGTAATATTTTTTTTCCCCCCCAAATTTCCTTTTGGTTGGAAAGAATAAAAACGGGCATGGGGAGATTTATCCGGTTGTACTTCCGATTACAATTGCAGATGGAACTGCTGGCGTTCCCTTTATAACCTACACTTAGGGAACATATAATGTATTAAACAAGAACTGTGTGGAATTCTTGCAAACTGCATTATCGTTAAAGCTAATGTTCTGATCCTTTCCAACTCGGTAATAAACTGCAACCGCCAGACCACAACGTATTATGTTCTGATTTAAAACAAGTGATAATTGAGTCTGCGAAATGCTTTTAAAGATGCCGTCTCCTTACAGGCAGTCCTTGAGTTACAAGATTTCGTTTAGTGACCATTCAAAGTTACAACGGTACTGAAAACAGGTAACTTATGACCGTTTTTCACACTTACGACCGTTGTAACGTTCCCCCACCGCCACCGGATCAAAATTCGGACGCTTGGCAATGGACTCGTATTTATGACGGTCGCAGCGTCTCGGGGTCACGTGATCCCTCTTTTGCGACCTTCTGACAAGTCAAGTCAATGGGGAAGCCAGACTCACTTAATAACCGTGTCACTAACTGAACAACTGCAGCGTCTGCTTAACAGCTGCATCAAGAAAGTTCGCAAAATGGAGCAAAACCCGCTTAACAACTGCCTCGCTTAGCAACAGAAAGTCTGGGCTCCATTGTGGTCCTAAATCGAGGACAACCTGCACTCATTTAACAAAATACTAGTGGTCTGCTGGAAAAGCTGTCTTGATTGGAACATAAAAAAACACATAGCTCTCTTTCCTTTTGTTGTTGTTAGTTGCGAAGTCGTGTCCGACCCATCGCGACCCTATGGACCATGTTCCTCCAGGCCTTCCTGTCCTCTACCATCTTCTGGAGTCCATTTAAGCTCAGGCCTACTGCTTCAGTGACTCCATCCAGCCACCTCATTCTCTGTCGTCCCATTCTTCTCTTGCCCTCCATCTTTCCCAGCATCAGGCTCTTCTCCAGTGAGTCCTTCCTTCTTATTAGGTGGCCAAAGTACTTGAGTTTTAACTTCAGGATCTGGCCTTCTAAAGAGCAGTCGGGGTTGATCTCTTCTAGGACTGACCGGTTGGATCGCCTTGCAGTGCAGGGGACTCGCAGGAGTCTTCTCCAGCACCAGAGTTCAAAGGCCTCCATTCTTTGGCACTCAGCCTTTCTTATGGTCCAACTTTCACAGCCATACATTGCAACTGGGAAAACCATGGCCTGGACTATACGCACTTTTGTTGGCAGGGTGATGTCTCTGCTTTTTAGTATGCTGTCTAGATTTGCCATGGCTTTCCTCCCCAGGAGCAAGCGTCTTTTAATTTCTTGGCTGCAGCCCCCATCTGCGGTGATCTCTTTCCTTAGCTTTAATCAAATATTTAAACAAACCCTTATTTCAGTTAAGCAGTATCTTCAAAGAGTGCACGGATCTTGCGCTGAATAAGTCAAATTCTTTTAAGAAAAGTCAGCCTATATTATTAGCATTAGGAAGCTAAATGCACTCAGAGTTCAACTTTGATTAGGCCCAGAGAGTGTCTAAGGCAGTGGTTCTCAACCTGTGGGTCGGGACCCCATTTGGGGTCGAACGACCATTTCACGGGGGTCGCCAAACAACGCAGTCCGCCATTTTTTTCCCCCTTTTCCTTAGCTGTGCTACTCCCTTTTATTCTATTGGCTTTTGAAAGCCAATAGAATAGACTCTCTTGAATAGAGTCTAATTCTATTGGCTTTCAAAAGCCAATAGGAATTGTCCAGGCTGTCTCTGCCCTGCTGAGCCTGCCAAAAGTCCCATTCTGCAAACGGTGCTGCACCAGTTGAGTAGTCCTCGACTTACGACCGGTTGAGTAGTCCTCGACTTACGACCGGTTGGGGGGGGGGGTTGCAGCATTAAAAAGGTTGAGAACCACTGGTCTAAGGAGAATTCTCCATTATCCAGGTCCCAAAGGTGATTTTTCCAAAAAGCAACTGGATTGTCTCAGGGTTTTTTTGTTCGAAAAAATGTTTCGCTTCTCATCCAAGAGAGAAGACAACCACTTTCCTGTTTGTTGTATCATTCAGGTCAAAACACAGGAGTCCTCAACTTACAACAGTTTGTTTAGTGGCCGTTCCAAGTTACGACGGCACTGAAAAAAGGGACCCAGGATCGGTTTTTCACACTACTGCTACTACTACTACTACTACTACTACTACTACTACTACTACTACTACTACTACTAATAATAATAATAATAATAATAAAGTTGTAAGGGACCTTGGAGGTCATCTAGTCCAACCCCCTGCTCAGGTAGGAAACCCTATACCATTTCAGACAAATGGCTGTCCAATCTCTTCTTACGGCTATGGTCATGTGATCAACATCCAGAAGCCTGGCAACTGACTCGTATTTACGACGGCGGCATTGTCCTGGGATTACGCGATCCCCCTTTTGCGACTTTGTGACAAACAAAGTCAAAGGGGAAGTCAGATTTACTTAACAACCATGTCACTAACTTAACACGAAACGTCGCAAAAGGGGTCACAATTTACTTAACAACAATCTCTCTTAGTGACAGAAAATTGGGGTTCCATTATGGCCGTATGTTGAGGACCACCTGTAGGTGCAACAGAAGAGGACGGAGGCAAGGTTTATAAAGCTGGAGCAAATGTCATTATCGTACATGCTGAAATCAGTACTTACTCTCAGATGCTTTCTGAAATTCTGAAGCCAGAGTTTGAGTCACGGCTGTCCAGAAAGTGTACAAAATGTCTGAATGGCCATCCTAAAATGAAAGAAGACACGATTTGTGACAATCAAGATGCGCTCCAAATTGAGAAACATAGAAAAGCGACCGCAGCAAAAGGCTTAGTCTGCCCTTTGAGCTGATTTGTTTTTAGCTTTTAAAAATTAGCTTATTATTTTTAATTATTATTTTACACAAGTAGTCCTTGACTTACAACCGGGGTCTTCAAACTCGGCCCTTTTATGACTGGTGGACTTCAACTCCCAGAATTCCTCAGCCAGGCACGCTGAAGTCCACCAGTCATAAAAGGGCCAGGTTTGAAGACCCCTGGTCTGGATCCAAGCCTGCAGTTTCATCAAAATGGCCGACTGAGGAATTCTGGGAGTTGAAGTCCACCAGTCATAAAAGGGCCAAGTTTGAAGACCCCTGGTCTGGATCCAAGCCCACAATTTCATCAAAATGGCCGACTGATGGCTATATCTGATTATCTTACTAGCTGAAGGACAATAATTTCAACCATTTTCCTATTCTTAAAAAGCAGGGTAGGAAAAAGATGCTTCACTCAGGGCTAGCAAACTGAACGAAACGTCTCCCGTAATAGAATTTTATTCTGTTAGATTTTAGAAAGACATATGTGTGCCCGTACATGCGTGCCTGATCTATGTAACACCACATTTTACCTGGACAGAACCTACACAAGTAGCTAGGGATAAGTACCTTTATAAGTAATTCAGTAAAGAAAGAAAAAGAATGCTTTTAGAAAGACATATGTGTGCATACGCGTGCACGCGAGCCCATACATGTGTCTATGTAACACGACATTTTAACTGGCACACTACCCACACAAGTAGCCAGGGATAAATACCTTTATAAGTAATTCAGTAAAGAAATAAATAAAATAAATGTACTGTTGCAGTCCTAGGCCATAACAGTGAGAGATAACCTAAAATACAATCAAACAAAATCACAATAAAACGCTATCAAGTAAAGGTGGCCCTTGACTTACGACCACAATTGACCCCAAAATTTCTGTTGCAAAGTGAGACGTTTGGTGAGTGAGTTTTGCCCCATTTTCAATAGGAAGCCTTCAATTTACAAGAAGTTCATTTAGTGACTGTTCAAAGTTACAACGGCACTGAAAAAGGGACATGACCGTTTTTCACACTTACGACCATTGCAGCATCTCCACGGTCACGTGATTTACATTTGGATGCTTGACAAGGGACTCACATTTATGACGGTCCCGGGGTCATGTGATCCCCTTGTGGGACCTTCTGACAAGCAACATCAATGGGGAAGCCATTAACAAACATGACACTAATTTAACAACTGCAGTGATTTATTTAACAACGGTCATAAAATGGCACAAAACTCACTTAACTGTTTTGCTTAACCACAGAATTTTTGGGCTCAGTTGTGGTCGTAATTCGAGAACTACCTGTAGCACTTTGCTGAGGAGTTTTTTTTTTATTCTAAACATTCCAATAATACGAGTACATAAATTTGAACCAGGAAGAGAAATATTGGTATGAAAAATAGATCGAAATAGTCTCGGAATCTCAAAACATAAAACAAGAACCACAAAAAATTCAGCTGCTCCGTTTACTGCAGTCAGACTGAAGAAAAAGGGAACCATCATATTGCTTGCAATAAGAACATATTATCATCAACCAACTTAATTAAAGTGACCTGTGTTGACCGTTATATTAAACAGTCCTCTTTTCTTCCGGACTGTGTGCCAGCATGAAAATGAGACGGATAATTATCCAATAGCTTACGCTGCATCCAGAGTTTTAAACAGAGTCATTCATGAGAAAGATTGAGAATATGAAATTAAAACGATCTCCCAGGAGTGAAATATTGGATACGTCCATATTCCACAGTGCTATTTAGGCACAAAAATTGCAAACCCAATTATGTGTGACACACGGATTCCCAATCGGTCTCTTAGAATATAACCTCACCCCTCAAAGGAGACTGTTTTTCAAATTCTAACAGCTAAAAAAAAAAAAAATACAAAAAAAATAAAAATAAGAATAACACTGGCTGAAATATATAGTTATACAGGGCACAGTTATACAAGCATGCTTTGCAGGTTATCAAAACAATGCTGAAGACGAGTTTCTAATCAAAAATCTAACAGGCCTGTTTGAAGAAAGCAGGCTAAACAAACAGCCACGGAAATCTTCTTTAAATCTTTTCGGTAAGGATGGTGAAGTGTAGAAGAATGAATAAATCTGCACTGCAGCTCCTCGGGGGATTTTGCTAAGGAAGACCCATATGCTCTATTTCTATAGCAACACAATTGCTGAATGTTTTAGATCTTGAGCAAAAGCTATCCCAATAGTAAAAACCAAGATTAGGCACGTTCCTAAACTTTTTGAATGATCGTTGCTCCCACCTCCCCTATCTTTGTGTTATTATCTGTCTTATGTATTTTCAGGGATGTATAGCAGAACTACATTTATATATCTCTATCTCTATCTCTATCTCTATCTCTATCTCTATCTATCTATCTATCTATCTATCTATCTATCTATCTATCTATCTATCTATCTATCTATCTACCTATCTAGATAGATAGATATAGAAATAGATAGATATAGATAGATATAGATATAGATAGATGGATATAGATATAGATAGATATAGATATATAGAGATATATAGATATAGATATAGATAGATAGATATAGATATGTATATATGTGTGTATATATGTATATATATATATAGATATAGATACATACATACATGCATGCATGCATACATAGAGATAGAGATAGATAGATAGATATAGAAATAGATAGATAGATAGATAGATATAGATATAAATATAGATATAGATAGATAGATAGATAGATAGATATAGATATGTATATATGTGTATGTATATATATAGATAGATATAGATATAGATACATACATACATGCATACATAGAGATAGATAGATAGATAGATAGATAGATAGATAGATAGATAGATAGATAGATATATTTTTTTAACACCGTTGTAACTTTGAACGGTCAGTAAATGAACAAGTCGTAAGTTGAGGACTACCTATATTTTCATTTCCTGGGGATGTGTGAAATTTAACGTTTGTAATAATGACAGAAAAAAAACATGACTCTTTGGGACCCCTGACCAACGTGGAGGAAAAATCCACCCTTTTGTCACTCAGGAAAATGCTACGACTTATTTTGCTCATCCCCTGAAATCAAGGAGTGAGGAGTGAATTTCCTGACATTGAAAAAAGGAGACCCAGCTCACTTTGGAAGGTGCCTAAAATATTTCCTTGATTCTGATCTATGGTTCGCAATTCCACTGTACCTTTCTCTCGTGGTGACAGAGACTAATGCAACAGAGGGAGTTATTTGCTAAAAATAAAAAAAGACAGGCAGTCCTCAGGTTAAGAACATCCAACTGAAGGACAGCTCCTAGAGACGAATGGGTTGCTATTATCGAAAATGGCGCCTGTTTTTTAGCAGTTCGCTGTGCCTCTTCAGCAGCTCAGCAGCTCGAGAAACGCCAACACTCTCCACCATTTTTTAGCAACAGGTAGAGTCTCTCCATAAGCACAGGTTCTGATGTTGAAGCTGAAGACAGAGTTAGGAAAGGAACTTGTTCTTAACTCAGGGATTGCTTCACGTGGAACGGAATGGAATAGAGTAGAATGAAGTGAAGAACAATGGAACAGTATTGAATGGAACGGAATGGAGTGAGATGCAGTGGAATGGAATGGAACGGATTGGAGTAAAATGGAATGGAACGGAATGGAATAGAACGGAATGGAATGGAGTGTAGTAGAATGGAATAGAATAGAATGAAATAGAATAGAACGGAACGGAGTGGAATGCAATGGAATGGAATGGAACTGATTGAAGTAGAATAGAATGGAGTTGAATGGAGTGGAGTAGAATGGAATGGAACAGAATGAAATGTAATAATAATAATAATAATAATAATAATAGTAGTAAAGTTGGAAGGGACCTTGGAGGTCATCTAGTCCAACCCCCTGCTCGGGCAGGAAACCCTACACCATTTCGGACAAATGGCTGTCCAGTCTCTTCTTAAAAACTTCCAGTGTTGGAGCATTTACTGCTTCTGGAGGCAAGCTGTTCCACTGATTAATTGTTCTCACTGTCAGGAAGTTTCTCCTTAGTTCTAGGTTGCTTCTCTCCTTGATTAGTTTCCACCCGTTGCTTCTTGTCCTGCCTTCAGGTGCTTTGGAAAATAGCTTAATTCCCTCTTCTTTATGGCAGCCCCTGAGATATTGGAATACTGCTATCATGTCCCCCCTTGTCCTTCTCTTCGTTAAACTAGACATACCGAATTCTAGCAACCGTTCCTTATATGTTTTAGCCTCCAGTCCCCTAATCATCTTTGTTGCTCTTCTCTGTACTCTTTCTAGAGTCTCAACATCTTTTTTACATCGTGGTGACCAAAACTGGATGCAGTAATCCAAGTGTGGCCTTACCAAGGCATTAAAGAGTGGTATTAATACTTCACGTAGAATGGAACAGAAAGAAATGGAATGGGAGTATAAGGGAGTGGAGTAAAATGGAAAGGAATGGAATAGAGTAGAATGTATGTAGTAGAATGGAATAGAATCGAACGGAACAGAATGGAATAGAATAGAACGGAATGGAGTGGAATGGAAGTAAATGAAATGTAATGAAGTAGAATGGAATGGAGTAGAATGGAATGGAAAGGAGTATAAGGGAGTGGAGTAGAATGGAATGGAACAGAATGGAGCAGAATGGAACGGAATAAAACGGGATGGGGCACCAGGGGTGGGGTGGGGCGGGTGGGGTAGGACGGGACAGGACACAGTTGGACAGAACTGAACTGGGTAGAATGGAATGGAATGGAATAGGACACTTTATTTTCCCAAATGTAGTTACACACAAGGAATTTGTCTCTGGTACAGAAACACTCAGCGTACTTGCAAAACGACAGAGGAATAATAGTAATAATACTAAAAGTGTGAAACCTGTAGAAGGGGGAAATAAAAGCTAATAAAAAGGACAATAATATT